TTATTATAATTTTATACCATACTATTAATATAGTAAACGAAACTACAGCCCTAAAGTTCATCAACTTTAGTAAATACTCTAGTAAAATCAGCCTTGAAATAAAAATACTTTTTCTCATAAAAAAAAACTCTCTTACAAATTGCGAAGATTAAATAAAATTACAAAAAAACAAGAAATATTTTTATCCTAAATAACTAATTTTTGCATGAGCCATGCATGCACGTCAAGTAATTAATAAATAAAATCCAAAACTAAGTCATATGGGACAAATTGCTAATTGAATCAAACACACATAGAGCCATTATGTATATGCATTTTTGCATGCATATAATTGCATACAAAATATAAAAATATTTCATACACAACAAATAATACATGATAATTACATACATAATTATCCGCTCTAAAAATTAATTTTTCCGACGAATTACCGGCGGAAAGATTTCATACGAAGGCAATCACGAGTCAAAAAATTCTAACCGGCATAATTTTTCTGTTAGAAACATCTTTGGCAGATCTTTAAGCGCAATTCCGATGAAAAAAGTAATGGTCCCTCAATAATGAATGATTTTTCTATAGTGATATAGGCATGCAACTTACATAATAATCTGTCAATTTTATCTTATCATCGTCCAAAAAGTGTTTTAGGGCAAGCAATATTGCTATGAGTCTCGCATGAATGCTCTGAAGGTGGCCCTGATCCTTTAGGAAGAGACTCGAGAAACAAAGCCTCAACTTCAAACCCTAATTTTCCTCGCAATGGCCTCCCTGCCGCCATTGATGGGAGCTCCAAAGAACCAACAACAATCATGCAGAGAAGAACCACCTCCAGCATTCCAACTCTCCTTTCTCCTCCCATGAATAGATTACTTGGAAAAGCAGCTTAATTATTTTCACTATCTTCTTCTTCTCTCTGACCTCTTTATGAAGAAGAATTATTGCAGCTGCAGAGCTTAACTTTCTAGGAAGTTGATGAGCTAGCTGTGGTGAAAATTGAATGAAGGGGTTTAGATATTTATAGCTTTATAATATTGATTCCGTGTGATTAATTAATTTCTGCATGATATTGATCGAATTCAATGCGATACTAAGGAATTCCATAGTTATTAAATTTTCCACTTGAATGACTTTGACTGCGTCCTTAAACGCTCGTTTTGGTAGAAGGAACTGTGATATTGGTGGCTTCTTTTGTTATTTTAGCATGACTTTGACTTGTCAAGTTAGAGCTCTATAGAAAGAAGATAAAAAATATTTCTTATAGTTATAAGTTCGAATATAGGCTTTATAAGAAAAATTTCATACTGCATATGATAATGAATGAGAATTGTGGTTCATTATAGGCTTTATTTGGGACGACTTTTTAATATTTTTAAAATAAATTTTTAAAACAAAATTTTCTAAGTTAAAAAAAATTATATGAAAGCAGTAAGAAAATCATTCCAAACGAAGTGGTATTCTAGCATTTACAAAATTATATTTATTTGAATTAGATTAATTAATGTATAATGAGATTTCCATTATTCAACAAGCCATTGACTGTGAACTAACTTGAAAAACCTACGAATTAGAATTCATCAAGCCTAAGATTGCCTAAACGTGAGTTGCCCACAGCTAAAGCTTGGTAGGTTGCCAAAGAATCAACTCTCTAACTAGACCCCTAGTAGTAAGCTATAATTTTTAAATTAAATACTAATTAAAAGTTAATTAGCCTCGTAACCAATTGATAAAAGAAATTTTAAATTTATATAAATTAATTAAAAAAAATAAAAAACATTAATCAATTAATTTTATAATTTCAAGAAATGTTTTACATCTATATAGTACATGAGTCAAATTTAATATGACTTTAGCTGTAAAGTTGTAGGGAGTAGTTACAAAATTGTCTTGTAAAATTAGTGTGTATTATCAAATTATATATGTATGTTTGTGTTATCTTATCATATAGCCTATATAGTTAAATTTTATCAAATGATATTTATTATTTAATTCGGATCATTTACTTGTGATTCAAAAGCTATATATATAAATTGTGGATGTAGAGCTTCCATGGATGAGTAGGACATGTATCTTATAGCCTTTTTTTTTTTACAGTAGTTGTGCAACCTCTTATATATTACTCAATAATATATTTGTTAGTTATGATAAGATTTGAAGAATCCCCATGAAATAGATGATTTAAGAGGGAAGCATTCAGATGTGCAACCTCCTGTGATCTCCTGCACGCCTAGCCCTTCGTGCTTGTTCGAGCCTGAGTTAAGCGATCCGGTCCTTCTCTGTGCGCGAACATAGCTCGAGCCAAGTACGCCCGTGCGTGTACTCTAACACTATACTAGCTCGTCTCCCACTTCTCACACGAACAGCGCCTGTCCTAGCCTCATGGCCTATCTTGACCATACCTCCAGCCTCGTGAAAGAGGTCTGATCTCACACCTCGCAAACATCCTGCCCATCCCCGCGCGTCCGCCATGAGCCTTGTACATCTCCGCTTACTTTCCTGAGCCTGAGCCCAACCCGTGTAGTTTCCACCCGCATCCTTGGCCCAACCGATTCACAGTCCTGCTCCCACGCAAAATATGCTTCAAGAATCTGCACACCTTGCCAACCACTCCACCCTAGCCCCCGCTCAAACACCTATGTTCCTAGACCTTGCCTCCACTCCACGTGCTCCACTCGCGAACGAGCATTGCTGCCTCTCATATGTTCCACCTCATGCGACTAAAGCCACGCTTCTTTGTGAAAATCGTGAACGACACCAATCATCCACTCCACCTCATGTGAACAGGCCCATTGTCTTCTGTGATTGCAATTGAAGAACTAGGCCGCGTGAAACACACTGCCTTTGGCACCTCCCAGCCCAATCGTGCAAGTCACTGATCCGACGAGCATCACCAGCAGCCTGACCACCTCCGATCCTCTTCTTGATCATAAGAACACCTTCATCCTCCTTCACCGTAATTGCCTCCACTCTCTGATACTAATTTGTTGGGATTCTTGTAGAAGGAAAACTTTCTTGATTACAATGTTGCTCTTGAATGATAATAAGATGAATCTAAGCAAAAACATAACTAAAATTGGACTAAAAAATAATAACACTAGCTAGTATATCCAAAGAAAATATGGCATGTAAAACATGCTACAGTAAAGTCTAGTTTCATTGTAGATCTCTAGAATCCTTCTCAAAATATATCTCTCTTTTAATTATCTAAACAAATTTGATCGGGCTCTCCTTTTTCTATCAAATTAAGGGTTTACAGAGTCTTTTATAGATCAAATCATCAAGAGAATCATTGAAATCTAGCCCCCTTCTCTTATCCATTTTTTTTTTTTTTTTTTTTTTTTAATTTTTTTTTTTTTTTTTTTTTGTGTTAATACACATATCTATAAAAGATCTTTAATCTCATAGCATTAATCATTGAAAATAACTTCCATAAATAATTTTGATCTTCGAGATTTCCAATTAATGGTATATGTATAATTACAAAAGGTGAACAATTTTTTTGTAAACTGATTATGTAATTTATTCTATATTGTTCATGAACATATATATAGTTATAATAGGGTGAGTAATAAGCCCAATAAATTATGTGAAACTTTCAACTGACTTAAGTGCTCGAAAGAGCAATATATATGCTCTCTCTCTCTCTCTCTCTCTCTCTCTCCTATATCTCTTTTCTAAGCATTCATGCTTGATCAAATGCTTCTGTGATTTCCATAATCCAAGTCTCCAACTTCTTTCATGCATACCAAATTCAAGCATTAATTGTATAATAGAGCAAAATTTATGATAAATGATTTATATGCTTGATTATATGCTTAGGGAACCTTCGATACTACTATTATGGTGGTAAAAAAAAAAAAACTATTCATTGTGTGCACAATTCTCAAAGCAAATTCAAGAAAGGCAAGCGATCGAGTAGAACAAGGGATCCAGACTCTCGGATGCAGATGTTGGTTTGTGAATTGTAAATAAACTTCGACAAAATAGAATAAAAACAAAACTTTTGTGAAGTAAAATTATTTCTAAAGAAGAATTTATTAGCCTCAAATACTTTTTGTTTAGATTACTTTGTATGTTCCTGTTTTGTTTAGATAATACTTTGAAATTTCTTCATTTCTTAGGGGTTCAAAATCCAGTTTTATCATAATCGAACCAAATAATTTGAATGATATAACGGTTGAATTTGTTCAATTCTACCGAAGATTCGATTCGATTCAATTCAATTGGTTTAACAATTCTATGAACCAATCTATTTGAATAAATTTATAAATGGGTGAATGCAGCATTGGTCGCCAATGAAACAATAACGATGGACCATGAGATCATGATCACTATAACGAAAGTGGCATAACTAGCAAGGATGGACAAAGACTAGTGGTGGCAATCAGTAAGGCAATGGTAGCGACGACAACTATGGTGATTGGCTGGGTCCATAATAGTTAGACTTTATTGCGGATGATGGCTAGTGGTGACTAGAAGTAACCGTTGTCAAAGGTGATAGCTATTTTAAAAATTAATTATCATTTTTAAATGATAAAATTTGATTACCATTTTTAAATGATAAAATTTGAGAAAATTTTTGAAAAAATAAATTTAGGCTCTCATTATTAATTTTTTTTTTCTCCTCTATTTTTAAATTTATTTTTCCAAAAAATAAATAGCAAATATAATTTTCTAATCAGATATATTATGGGCTGTAAAAAGTCAAAATTTTAATCGATTTTAGACGGCAACGATAAAAAAACAAACCGTGTCGACCCACAGGACACGCCTAAAACCCATTTCCACTAGCAAATAAAAACAACCAGAAAGCCATGGAGCGACTTCTCCACGTCAGTCATGATGCTAAAACATCTAAACCGTCCAAGTCATTCAAATGTAATTCTCTGACTGATTTAAACGGCTACGATTTCTAGACCTCGCTGATTCCGATCCACCTGAGAATTTTCTGAGAACCTTTACAACGACCTCCTAACAAATATAAAGAAAATAACAAACGCGCTCTCTCTCTCTTTCTCTCTCTCATTTCAATCCCCTTCCTGCAGATCTACGATTTCACTGAGCTGCGGGGCTCGATCGATAATATCTTACTGTCTGGAACTTGGCTTCGTAAATTTCATCGCGTGAAGATCTGGAAATGTCGGTGAGTTCATAGATCGGGATTTATTTTTGTAATGTATGTTGATAGATTTCGTTTTAATGGATGAATCAGTGCGATGAAGAAGTTTCTGCATTTGTGTGGAGTTCGATTTATTTTTTTAAAAAATTTTGTGAAGGGTGGTAAAAATGCTTGAGCTGTGCAAAAACAGAGGATATGGATAGATTTTGATGTGTTTTAGACTTTGGCATCAGATTTGTGATGTAGCATAAGCTTTTTTTGGTTGAAAATTGTATATTATGTTTGAGGTGAAGAATTTTGTATTTGTTTTTGTGTTTGGGATAGTTGTTTGGGAGATATGTGTTTGTATGACTGACATCTAGTTGGCAAATATGTCCAGTGATTAGGGTTTATGAAAAAGAACTTTCTTTAATATATATGTGTTTGTTTATCATGTTTAAAAAACAAAATACAAAGTTATTTTAGGGTCAGGCTTTTGGCTTTTTCTGCTATATTTGGAATAGGGTAAAGTAGGAGCATGGAAAGGTAGAGTAACCATAAACGAAAGTAACTAAAAGAGGTGGTATGAAAGACTTTTAGAATTTGAGTTGTTTGGTTGGCAGTAAAACTAATACGAAATAATTTTTGGGGGGAATTTAGAATGTCCTGATTATGGCATTTTCAGTGTATTCCGAATTCATGCAAATCGAGTAAATTCAAAATATACCATGTCATGTATAAAATTGGAAGTGGTCATGATCTCATCCACTCTATCATCCATGTCTCAACAATTGTTGCATTTATCATCTGTAATTGCCATTGTCCACAATTGTTGTTGTTGCCATCCATGTCTATTGTAAGTGTCATTTTTCACATCACTCAACTCTTGACACCGTCGGTCCAAACAACTTCATCCAAACATATGCCATCCCCACCAATTCTATTCACCATCATCACCGCCCCATCGATCTCATTTCCATTGTTGCTTTATTTGTAGTTTATAAATAATTATATGCTTGATTTTACTTCCAAATTAAGAAAATTTAGTAATACAAAAATTTTGATTGATTTTACTTCCAAATTAAAAAAAAAAAAAGATTCGGTGAAATTATTTTACAACATGTCAAACAACCCTTTAGATTCCACAGACACTTTATTTATTTTACACTATATGTATGAAATACTCATTTTATACTTTCAACTAAACAACATCCTAAACATTTCACTTTGCTCTAATTTGGACATTGTGATTAATCCACTATTTAGGGATTACTATTCCAATGGTATTGCTGAAATCACCTTAAAGGGAATTGATCTTTTCTTGTTTGAACCTCAGAAATTCCATTTAATTGTGCCATACTAGAAGGAATTGAATGGATTATGATGAAGCATGAAAAAAGAGGAACATTCGGAGCCATATAAAAATTAATAATACTTTCATCATTGCATTTACTTTGAACTCTAGTTTTTGAAATATCATTATATTACTTTTCTGCTGCTTAAGTACAACAACAACAACAACAACATCAAGCCTTTATCCCACTACGTGGGGTCGGCTACATGAGTCCTTTTTCTCCATTGTGTCCTATTAAAAGTCAAATTCTCTTTTAAATCTAATAAAGAAAGGTCATTCATAATATTTTCTAACCAAGTCTTTTTATAACAAAGCTGCTTAAGTATTGTAGTAAAATTGACTAAGGTTGTTTGTGCTTCGACCCAAACTCAAGACCAGCTAAAAGTCATTGGATCTAATCTCAAGTCAAGCAAAGAATCATTATAATCTAGCTTGATTTGATTTGATTTGAATTACTTAAAACTCGGTAACTTTGATTCAAGCCAAAAATCAATTTGTTCTTGATTGATTTTCGATCTTGTAAGGTAATGCCTTAGTCCAACATACATACATACACTCATCCATATATAACAGTATCTTTTATTAGGACACTATTGTGCTTATTGCATCAATTTTGAAACTTATCTCATGCATTTACAAGCTTAAACTATATTTACTTTCTAGATTGATAGTTGACACTTCTCTTCTTTATTATGTTGATCCGGTGCTTCTTTTGACCATGATTTCATTTTTATTTTCTTTGGATTTATTTGGTTTCTGGTTGATGAAAGCTTCACTTATTATCCGTTAACCTCTATGCTGTTGCAGGCAAAAACAGTTAAAGTGAGCAATATATCCTTGTTAGCATCTCAGCAAGATGTTAGAGAATTCTTCTCATTTTCTGGAGATATTGTTTATGTTGAAATGCAGAGGTCCTCTCTTATTCTGATAGAATGCACTTTTTTTTTATTTTAATAGAGCTTCTCATAAGTTCAATTATTCTCTTCCATTAGTGAGCCTGATGGATCTTGGCTTGCATATGTAACATTCAAAGATACACAAGGAGCAGACACTGCTGTACTTCTCTCTGTGAGTTTGTTGTCCCTATTCCGACCCTAGATTGCAGGAAACAGATGTTTCTCTTAATACTTGTGTTTAATTTTGCCATCCATTTCCTTAAAAAGTTATGGTTCATGAGCAGGGTGCAACTATTGCTGATCGTGTTGTAACAGTAACATATGCGGACAATTACAAGTTACCACCTGAAGCTTGCCAAACAACTACGGTAAATGCTTTTTCCTCCGTGGCAGGCATTTGTTAGATAACCATAGTCATGAACAAAAGATCGAGAGCTAAAATGCATTAGTTTAACTGCGTTACACGTCTAGTACTTTTTTAATCCTAGAGAGTTGGATTCGACTAATTAAATTTGATATTGGGAATTGAAAAAACATGATTAATTATTTTAAATTTCAACCATTCAAAGATATGGATGGATGGCATAAGCCCCACAATGATAAAACTTCTATGCTTCTGAAGGATAGTAGTTCACGTTCTTAATTTCTCTCTCTTCTAAAAACTACGTTCTCTCTTTTATCATCATCAATTATAGAAAATATAGAGTAGCTAAGAAAGTTTGGCTTGTTTCTTATTTCAATGAGTATTTATACATAAAACTATTCAAGAAATAAAGGGAAATAATTAATTATGATAGCCTTTTTTTTTTTAAAATCGGAATAGGTTGTTCGCCCCTTTCATGCCTTCCTTTGGATTCAATTTACCTTGTCCATTGATCTCATAGGGGCAATCCATGGCCTGATTCTTTTCTTTGTTGTGCATGAATACATGGGAGGGATGTTTGACCTTCAAGTTATAGAATATCATTTTTTATAGAGAATCCCTTTCTCAAAACTTGATTGGAGGTATCTGAAAACTCTATAAGAGGCTTGAAGGTGAGATTCTTTTGGATTATGCATTTATGAGACTTGTTACAAAGGTGATGCTAGGATCAGGGTGTGATAGTATTAGTTTTTCTAATTTTTGATATTGTCTTATGTACACTTCTATTTTTTCCTTCATCCATGTCTACTTTTTGGTTTTGTTCTGTTGGAGTTTCGCATGACTTATAATCAATATTTTTGTTTCTGTTAATAGATCTATTTGTCGGAAGATAAAAACTCCTTGTTTTGATTGAGCAACTTCTATATCTAAGAAATATTTGAGTTTGCTCAATTCGTTGATTTCAAGTTCTTTAGCAGATTTCTTCCGAAGTGATTCCTTTTCTTCATTGTTATCACCTATAATAATTATATCATTAGCATACACAATGAAAACTAAAAATTTCCATTATTACAGTGTTTTATGAATACTGTATGATCTTTTTGGCTTTTTTATATCTTACTATGTTCATGATTTTTATAAATATATCAAATCATGCACTTGGAGATTGTTTAAGACTAATTCCTTTTATAGACTTGAAAGGGTACAATGATTGGAGCTATTAGAGTTTGTGTAGTTGGAATGTCTAGATAGAAGATAGTGATTTCATCAAATTTATCTTCCAGTTGATTGTTCTTCCCTTGAAGATGAGTTTGGTTTCAAAACCTTTAATTTTTCATTAAATGTGGCATCTTTTGAAGTGACGAATTTTTTGGTAATAGGTTGATAATACTTGTACCCTTTTTTAGTAGAAGAATACCTTTCAAATCACATTTGAATGCTCTAGGATCAAGCTTATCTCAGTGTTGTTTGTGTATGTGAACATAAGTAATATACCTAAATATTTTTCAAGGAATTTTTAGAAGAAAAAAAAATGAGGAAGAATCCTCAATTTAGTTTAGGAAACTTTTGAAACTAATCACTCCTTAGGGTATTCGATTGACTAGGTATGTGGCAGTTAGAACTAATACTCTCCAATATTTTTTAGAAACTTGGTTTAAAAAAAAATAAAAGTCTTGGTGGCTATCAGAAGGTGATGATTTTTCCTTTCTTTTGCCCTATATTGTTAGAGGTTGTCAGGTTAAAAGGATTGTTGGATAATATATTCTTTACTAAAAAAAATATAAATATTGATTGAAATGATCATGAGCATTATCAGTAAGATACATCGTGATGTTAGTATTAAATTAATTTTTATCATAACAGCAAAATTAAGGAGAATAATGCTGATGCCTTATTTTTAATTGATAAGGTATATTTCGTGTCACTATAGTGCAATAATCAATACAACAACAACAACAACAACATCAAGCCTTTATCCCACTACGTGTGGTCGGCTACATGAATCCTTTTTCTCCATTGTGTTTTATTAAAGGTCAAATTCTCGTTTAAATCTAATAAAGAAAGGTCATTCCTAATATTTTCTAACCAAGTCTTTTTAGGTATGCCTCTACCTTTCTTAACATAAGTCAAATATAATACCTCTACTCTCTTAACCGGGTCATTGGAAGGCCGTCGTTTTATGTGAACAAACCATCTAAGGCGACTCTCTCTAATCTTATCCTTTACTGGAGCTACTCCAACCTTTTCACGTATATGCTCATTTCGTATCCTATCTCTAAGGGTAAAGCCACTCATCCACCTGAGCATCCTCATCTCTGCCACACTTAACTTAGTATTATGCTTCTCTTTTAATGGCCAACATTCAGCACCATAAAGCATTGCAGGCCTCACTACCATCTTATAGAATTTTCCCTTAAGTTTGAGGGTTACTTTTTTATCACACAACAAGCCCGATGCATTTCTCCACTTCAACCATCCAACTTGAATTCTGCTGATAATATCCCCATCTATTTCACCATCACTCTGAACAATAGATCTAAGATATCTAAAACATGTACTCTTATTAATGACTTGATCGCCCAAAGTCACAATCCCCTCACTAGGTCTATTACTACTAAAATTACACTCCATATATTCCATTTTAGATCTACTCAAGCGAAAATCTTTAATCTCTAATGTTGACCTCCATAATTTAAGTTTACTTTCAACTCCCTCTCTAGTCTTATCAACGAGAAGAATATCATCAGCAAAAAGCATACACCAAGGTACATCCTCTTGCAAATGTCCAGTGAGAACATCCATGACTAAAGCAAAAAGATATGGGCTTAAGGCAGATCCTTGATGTAACCCAACCGAAATAGAGAAATACTTGGTCAAACCACCTTGTGTTTGAACACAAGTAATAGCTCTCGAAATGTTAGAAATTTTTTAGGGTTCCTAAATATTAGAGTGAATTAATATAAAAAGCAGTAGAGGACTTGAAATCACTATCAAAAAATGAAGCACGATCATATTTTATAATTTCACAAGTCTCACAATGAAAGTATCCAACACAAAAAAATGAAGCACATCATATTTTATAGTTTCATAAGTCTGATAATGAAAATATTCATTACTAATATTTATAAAAGAGAGAAAAATATTGTCACATCCCAGTATTTATTTTGGAAGAATTATCTATTTTATCTTTGTAATTATTTACAAGAGCTTTTATAAATAATCAATATAACTCAATATCCAACGAAAGTAATTAAATATAATACACCAGAAAAATATTTACTATATTCATTTACCAAAATCACATTTATATAGCCAAAAGATCACTAACAATCACAATCTATCAATTGCTCCTGACTACAAAAAAAGGAGAAAATACAAAACAAAATCAAAGAAAAAATCGAGAATCTCAATAAGTCTCACTCCACATAATCATGACCCTTTCTCTGATATGAAATCAGTAAAATCATATAACAAGCTTACAAATCTCAGCAAAAATCCCAAAATTTGTTAAAGTTTTTAATACAATATTTGAAAAATCGATATGCATGCCCATCTCAATCAAAAGAATCAATAATGATCAATTCTCAATCATCACTTGTACAATTCAATATGATTAATAACAAAAAGTGAGAATCAACACACTTTAATGATCAATCATCACTTGGACGATTCAATATAATTAATAACAAAAAGTGAGAATCAACACACTTAAATTCATAAATCAACAACGGGTGCGAAAATGTAAATACATCTGTAATCAATAAATCGGTGATCAATAAATCAGTATTGTAGCATGAACATATATGTTTAAATGTCATTAGTCTTGTCCATCTTATCAATTATCTATTATATGAAATCAGTACATGTAATGCACACACTTCTCTATTTTTTCTATCAATGCTATCAATGTATGGATAACATCAGTGTATGATTCAGCAAGACAGAACATCTAGCTTTAATGTGGTGTTTTCATTCTTTCATTTGTATTCATTGCATCATTATATCATCTTTATTATCATTATCTTTATCATTATTATTACAAGCGACTTTCAATAAATCATTAAGAGTCGTCACGCTCTGCCCGTCGACGTAATCGGTTATCAGTTATAGGCTACAACTAGAATGACACTACAAATCATTTTTAAAGGAAAACCTATCGACCCGCCCTCATGCATAGAGTATTATATTTTAACGGTTAACCCGAGTTAATTATAATATTAACAATCAGCTTTCCTTGTTTATATGCATGTACTACATTTATTTCATATCAGTTGTATCAAGTTCTCCTTCATGCATGAAATGTAACATGAACTGCTAAAATCTATAAATCCAAAAAAATATGTATAATAATTGATAGCTTTAGAAAATAACAACTTTTATTTTAACCTGTAAAATTCAATAATATTACAGTCAACATATCCATAAAGTTCATATCTATCATATACGAAAAGTTACACGGTAAAAATATGATATATCATAATAAAATATATTTTTATCGAATCAAGAGAGATTAATTTCATCAAACTCGAAATCATTGAAAACTAAAGTGAGATTTGAATTACTTGCAATGATCAAAAGACTTTTTATTAGAAGTGACAAACAAAAATGACCAAAGCCCGCTTTCTCTCTATTCCCTCTATCCTCTTTCTCTCTCTTTCCCTCTCTTTTTTCATGGCAAGCCATCAAAAATGGGTGAGGAGGTGGCGGCGCTGGAGGCTTTTAGTGCTTAGGATTTAATTAAAATCATATAGAAACACTGTTAGTGGCTTAGCACCGCAGCACTCCTATTCAGCTCTGCATGTTGAATCCAAAATTACTATAGAACAGAGGTTTCAATGCCGCGGTGACGATTTCTAGTGTCACTGCGCTCAAAGGCCAATGCCTCAGTGCCGCAGTTCAAACAAAAATTTGAATTTTATCTTCAAGAGGGTAGTTCCTATTTTTTTCTCTAGCTTGGCTAATTGTCTTCCCCATAGTGAGATCCTAAAATATATCTTATTATTG